TTGTCCTTCTTATCACCCAGCCTTCCTCCTGCCTGCTGGGCTTGGCAACCAGAGAGAGACGGAGACAGACGGGGCTGAAGATCCACCAGCTGTCTGCTCCCATTCAAAACTCAATCTGAAAACCCCCTCCCCCCCCGGCTCTTAAATGCAATAATAACCGTAGCAAGAATTCCAGAATTGCTGCTAGATTTTAAAAAAAAAACTTCCAATGAGAGGGGAAGGGGAGAGATAGGGAAATGAAAGGATGGGGGAGAAGGGAAAGGAAGGAAAAAGATGAGGAGGGAAGGGGGAGAGGAAAGGGAAGGGAAGGAAGGAGAAAGGGAGAGAAGGGAAAGGAAAGGATGGAGGAAAAAAGGCAAGGGAAAACATGAGGGAGGAAGGAGACAAAGGAAGAGGAAGGAAAGAAGAAACTGGGAGGGAGACGCAGGAGAAGCAGGGCAGCCAAAGAGGCGGGTGTGTGTGTGTGTGTGTGTGTGTGTGTGTGTGTGTGTGTGGTGCCTTGGACCAAACTTTTCCGGCTCCGACGACAGCATCTTCTTTTCCTGCTGATTCATGGCAAGCCAAGCCACCCCATCTCACTGGCTGCTGGGGAGTTGACTTTGGGAGCCCAGCAGTGGCCTTTTCCGTTGGGAAGCCATCGAGAGGGGAATTCAAAACCAGCCCTGAGGTCTGGGAAAGAAACAGCTCGATCGATGGCTGCCGGCCCAAGAAGGTACGACGAAGGAGAAGGAGAAATTCAGACATTCAAAACCAACTCAGAATAGGGCTACGCTGGTGGCTTAATTTTAACTCTCGGCTGTGCCAACCGAAGAGAGACGGGTCCCATCGGGCGAAGGACACCGGAGAAGGCAGAAGAGAAGAGGAAGAACTGGAGAAGATCACAAAACACAAAGAGCTACAAATAGAAATGGAACGACTGTGGCAAAGGCAAGCAAGGGTAGTACCCATAGTCATAGGCGCCTTGGGAGCAGTCCCAAAACAACGGGAGCCAGCTCTTGAATATTGTCGGCATTGACAAATTTGCCATCAGTCAATTGCAGAAGGCAGCTTGGCCTGGAACAGCTTCCATCCTGCGGCGATCTCTGTAACACCCTCAGACATCCAGATTTGCCTATCCCGGGTCCTTGGTCAGGACTCAATAGGTAGACAAAAATGCCAAACCCAGTCTGAACATCTGGCTGACTGTGCGATGAATAAGAATAAGGGACGGGGGGGACAGGAAGAGGAAAAGAACCCCGTTTTATTACCAGCCCACCCCAAAACCGTCTCCCTCTTTTTTTTTTTAACGCCGACAATGTTGGCAATGCATTCATTTATCCAATTTCTGCTTCTTCTTTTTCTGAGATTTTTTTCCTTGCTATTTGATAGTCTCCGTGCTCCATGTTTTCCCACTTACTAGCTATTAGTGGTAATCACTCTAAATTAATTAAGGCCTTCCTCAAAGCCTGTGAATGGAATAGAAATTAATTGTCAGCAAATATCACTAGGAATTCCTGCCTAATCTTTGGTGGGTTATCAATTTATGCCTTGGGAGGGAGACGTTTAATTATCTTCAAATGTTATATATGGGGTGCTGGGAGGATCACAGCTTGTTTCTATGCAAGTTTGACTCCGTGGTAGGTGTGTGTGTGTTGGGGGGGATCCTTTAATTCCAGGCTACACACACACACACACACACACACACACACACACACACACACACAATTTAAACCTATTCTCCAAAGCACCCCGTGGCAGGAAAAGAAGGAACGGATGGAAACTTATCGGAACGAAATCTGATCTAGAATTAAGAAGAAATTTCCTAAGAATATGAAGAATTAACCAGTGGACCCGGTCTGCCTCCAAGAGTTGAGGTTTGTAAAGAAGAGACTGGACAGCCACTTGTCCGGAAGGATAGAGGGGGCTGGACTAGAAGACCTCCAAGGTCCCTTTCCACACTGTTGTTCTGTTACCTGAGACAACAATTTGACTCGAGGCAAAAGCTGCTAAATTGGCGGTGAGGCACATTTTAATGGCAGCAGTTGATTTAACGGAACGTTAATGGGGGGAATCCATTCATTGATTGCTTGATCACATGAACGGCTGCAACGGGGGTAGGTGTGAACAATGGTCGTAAGACACTTTTCTGCACCATTGTAGCCTCAAACGGTCATTAAACAGGATGGACAGAGAGAGAGGCACAGCCACTTCCAAATCGTACATTAGCACACGGGGTGAAAACTCACCCAAACAATTAAAATGGGAATTGACCTTTTCCAAACACCGTGTGATTTTTATTTTTTTTACTAAGCGTGTGTTTCCGGCAAGGACCCCCACCCATTTCGACCATGATGGAGGCCCCCCCCAAGTCCGTCGTTAAGCGAGACAGTGGTTCAATGGGTTGTTTGGCCCTGTTTTCACCCCCTTTCTCGCCCACGGGCGAGAAAGCAAACTGCTGCAGTGGTTGAGTTCGTTGCACGGCTGCGGGCTGCAAATCGGGCTTCTCCGTCGACTTTGCTCATCGGACGGTCACAGAAGGGGACCCCCCGGGACGTAACTACGAGCCAGTGGCCAAGCGCCTGAGTTTTGATCATGTACTGTCGGTTTCTGCGATGGTTCTAAGTGTGAAAAACGGCCGTAAGCCACTTTTCTTAGTGCCGTTGTAACTTCGAAGGGTCGCTAAATTATAGGAATTTGTAAAGTTCTTCCCTCCCTTCTGCCAGATACGATTTGATGAAAATTTCCCCCCAAATGTCTTGCTAAAAGAAGAAAGACATCAGTGTACTTCAAATGCGGAACTGGCCCCGTTAAACCGAACAACAGAGGCTGGTGGTCGCACACAAAATGCTAAACTCAGTTAAAATAAATTTGGATAGTTTTTGTTTTTTTTTAGCATGCGAGGAACACAGCATTGTGTCTTATGAGGTTGTGTGAACCAGGCTGGCGCATTAAGTGATAGTATGGCATATTTATTTTGCTTATTGTGCCCTGAGTGTAACTCGCAAAGCCACATTGAATATTTATTTACGTTGTGTTATAATCCAGCTTTGAAATAAGGCAGTTTCTGGAGAGGAAGAGGCATTTAAAAAAGCAACAGCTGAGTCACTGCAAGGGTTGTGGAGCACGGATGCGTATCTGTTGTTCGGTTATTGTTGCTTTTCTCAAAAAAAAAAAAAAGGTGCTTTCAGCTGCTTGTGGGTTAAGTCAAGGACAATAAGTTCATGATTGGGGTTTGTTTTCTTTTTCTATAGACCGCGGCTTCCTAGCTTTTGCATTCCGAACAGATGTCTGCTTTAAAAAAAAAAAAAGTCAACGGCTTAGCTATTAATAACAATTTCACTTAAAATATATGTAAAGAGGAGGGGAGTCAGAGTTGGTGAGCCCCCTTCCCCTTTCAAGACGTTGAAAAAAATATATTAAATTTTCGCCCTTTCTAGCAGACCAATCCGGTGATGGCCGATGAAAGCAATTCCTTTGAAGAGAAGTTTGCGAGAGAAGGTAGAAGCCAAACGGATTTGCCCAAGGTCAGCCCTTCAAGGTAGACCGGCCTAGAAAATCAAAAATCTTCCACTGAATTGACATCTCTCCGTTTTGGCTCTTCAAGAATTCTTCTGCAGTAGTGAGGCTCTATTTGGAATATCCCGTGTCCAGTTTTGGTCACCACCACGATATAAAAAAGATATTGTAGGAAGCATGCAGAGAAAAGAGCAACAAAGAGGATTAAGGGACCGGAGGATAAATGAATGTTTAAGGGACCAGATAGGTCTGTTCTAACAAAGAGAAGAACTAGGGGAGACATGATAGAAGTCTACTAATTCTTTGGGGGGGCTGCCACAGAGAAGAGGGGGTCAACTTATTCTCCAAAGCACCTGAAGGCAGGACAAGTAAGGGATGGAAGCTCATCAAAGACAGACCCAACATAAAACGGAGGAGGAATTTCCTGACAGTGAGGACAATCCAATAGATGTTAGTTGCCTCCAGAAGTTATGGGTGCTCTGTCGCTTTAAGAAGAGACTGGATAGCCATTTGTCCAAAGTGGTCTTAGGGTCTCCTGCTTGATCAGGGCATTGGACTAGATGGCCTCCAAGGTCCCTTCCAACTCTGATATTCTGCATTCTGGGTTGCACTTGAGTGGTTGCCCTCGACGTTGGACTAGCAGTCCCCCAAGGTCCCTTCCAACCCCTATTGTCCTATGTTCTAAGCTCCTCTAATCTTCCTTTTCTTCTCCTCTCATTCTCCATTCCTGCCATGCCCCTGTTAGAAAGGGACTCCGAGGGAGGGGAGGAACAGCCGACAGGGAGTGGAAGTGGAGCTCCGGAGGTTGTGGAGAAAACTGGGGAAGGGGCACAGGACGGCTGGGCAGTCAGAGGAAGACCCAGGCCCATCCCCTCTTCATCCTAGGGCACACAGGGAGGAGCAGAGAAGGGAGAAACATGAATGGTGTGGTCTATGGGGGAGGAAAGGGCCCTGATCCCCTTCATGGGCTGTGAGGACTGTTTAAAAGGACAAACTGCGCATGGCCCAGTGCTGGAAGCAAAGCGTGAAATATTTCTAGTCTGTCTGTTCTTTTCTGAGTTCTGGCGTCCTTCCCAGTGTGTGTATTTCGATATCTGTGGGCCTCTTCAAGCCCTTATCCTGCCGTGTCTCATAAATTGCTTCAGTATGGTTTGTGTTGTTTTTTCCTATTTAGAATTTATATGTATCTTGAGTTTGAACGGAAGTTCTTCCTTTTCACAACTGTTTGTGGGGGAGTTTTTTCTCCAGTCAATGGAAATTGGACCTTTGAAGCCAAGTTGAAGGAATTAAAGGGGCTTTACCTGTTTTTGTGACTTTGTTGCTTTTGTTACCCACCCTGGGTCATCACATTTCCTCTTATCCTGCATTCTGTAATTTATGGGTTGTTCTTGTATAAGTTACACTAGTAGACGTTGGATTAGAAGATCTCCAAGATCTCTTCTAACCCCTTTTGTTCTACGTTCTAATCTCCTTGTCTTCTCTTCTCATGCTCCTTCTTCTTCCAGGAAAACCCGTATTTGTGCAGCGACGAGTGCGACGCTTCCAATCCGGACCTGGCCCATCCTCCCAAGTTGATGTTCGACAAAGAAGACGAAGGCCTGGCCACCTACTGGCAGAGCGTGACCTGGAGCCGTTACCCCAAGCCTCTGTTGGCCAACATCACCTTGTCTTGGAACAAGACCATTGAGCTGACCGCCGATGTCGTGTTGACTTTTGAGTACGGCCGCCCCACCAAAATGATCTTGGAGAAGTCCTTGGACAATGGGAGAACTTGGCACCCCTACCAGTACTACGCGGATGAATGCAACGAAGCTTTCGGCATGCCGGCGAGGAAGGTGAGGGAGCTGTCCACCACCAACGTCAACAGAGTCATCTGCACGGAGGAATACTCTCGCTGGGTGGGGTCCAAGAAAGAGAAGGACGTGAGATTTGAGGTGAAGGACCGTTTTGCCATTTTTGCTGGGCCCGAACTCCGAAACATGGACAATCTTTACACCAGGCTGGAGAGCGCCAAGGGCCTGAAGGATTTCTTCACCGTGACGGACTTGAGGATGCGGCTGTTGAAACCGGCGCTCGGGGGCACCTACGTCCAAAGAGAGAACTTGTACAAGTACTTCTATGCGATCTCCAATATTGAAGTCACAGGCAGGTAATCGGAGCTGCGCTTTCTTTTCTTTTCTTTTCCCTCCCTCCCCGTTTTTAATTCGTCCATCGCTGACGCCTTTTGGGTATCCGACAAGCGAAGATGTCAGGATACGTCTCCCGAAAAAAGACTCGCTTGGTTCAGAACAGGAAAAAGGGTTTTGGGGTTTTCAGACGTGTTGCATTTCTTTGGCATCTTTTCCTTGAAACAAACAAGCAGGCAAGCAAGTAAAACCCTCTTTTATTTGAAAAGAAATTGCTTTTGGTGTGGGTTCCCCCCCCCTGCAAAAAAACCCCAACAACAATCATTTTGATGAAATTCTCCAAAGTGAACGATTGTTCTTTTGTTTACAATCCTTTCTTTTGACTTCATTGGTTTAGTTTTCTTTCCTCCCTTCCTTTCTCCCTCTTTCTTTTCCTTTCTTTCTTCAACCCTCGCTCCTTCCCTCTTCTTTTATCCGTTCCTCTCTCCCTCCCTCTTTCCTTCCTTTCTTCAACCCTCCCTCCTTCCCTCTTTGATCTCCTCCCTCCCTCCCTTCCTTCTGCCCTCCAGCCCTCTCTCCCCATTCTTTTTTCCTCCCTCCCTTCCTCCCACCCTCCCTCCCTCTTTCCTTTCTTTTCCTTTCCTTCTTTATCTCCTCCCTCCCTTCCTTCCTTGCAAAAATCCTTGCTCCTTTGCAAGAAATGTCCAAAACCAATTCTCTTTCGCCAAGCAACACGAGAGCAGCAAAAGAACCGATGCCAGACAATTGTTCTGCTTGGCACAAGAAAGTTTGCAGTCAGGCGGATTGCGGTGCGATTCTGAGCCTCTCCTCTAAAGGACGCGTTATTTTTACTCCTCCTTCCACCTGCCCTCCTGTGCTGGTCCTTCCATCCTGCCCTGATCGATCTAGTAAGTAACAGGAGGAGGTGCCAGGCCTGCGACAGGAATAGAAGCCAGAAAGCCCATCTTGGGTGAGCAAGGACTGGCACACACGTCACAGCAGAAGGGAGGAATCCGAGGTGATGCGGGGGGGGGGG